GGGGTGAGATGGATGTGGGGTGAGATGGATGTGGGGTGAGATGGATGGGGGGCGAGATGGATGGGGGGCGAGATGGATGGGGGGTGAGATGGATGTGGGCTGAAGGCACTGGGTTCAGTGGGGAGAACAGCCTGGCATCACCCATTTGCTTGTCCCCTGCTTGTCCCCACTGACCCTTCGTAGCACCACAGAATGACTGAGGTTGGGAAGAGCACTGTGGCCGCCAGTCTGACCAGCAACCCATGCCCACCATACTGCAGGGGGTGGTGGGAAAGTGAAATACTGGGGCTCTGTGCCATCAATCTGGCCAGCGTGCTCTCCTTGCTTTTCTTCTCACTCATCATGCTCACGGTGCATGGACTTTCATGGGCTGAGCGCCCCAAGAACACATTTCAGGGCAGCGGGATCTTCCCCAGGAACAACCTTTAGGGCAGTGGGAGCTCGGTGGGCTGAGCGCCCCCAGGAATAATCCTTAGGACCAGGTCTGAGCTGCACCCACAGGAGTGTGATTCACAGCCGAGTGCTGCCCCACGCCTGGCGCACCAGACCTCATCTGCTCGCTGTCACGGGGCTCAGTGCCGTGACGCAGAGGAGTGGTGGTGACTCACCTGCAGAAAGAGGAACAGCAAGGAGTGTCAGCGGCGTTCCGAGGCGTGGAGCTCCGTCCAGGACCGGCTTTCCTTGCAGGGTGAAGGTGCTGTGTGTCGCTGCTCCGTGGACCGGGCACAGCGCCTGGGACAGCAGGGAAGAACGAGGACCCTGCAGATGTGAGATGCCTGGCGGTGACCCCGCGGGGCAGTCAGCCCCTCACTGCTGGCATTGCAGCCCGTCACCCCGTGCCTCTCCCAGCCTCACGTCTCATGGCCCCGACAGCTGTGAGCTGCAGGCAGGAGATGAGAAAGCAAGTTCCTGCCAAAACCACACGGTGCTGTGACGGCCTCATGTGGCACTGGGGCACCGCTGTGCTCCGTGGGGGGGGGGGGGGGACCAGGCCAGAGCTTTGGCTCAGCCTCATTTCTTTGTGGCCCCATTTGGTTTCTTCTCTGCAGGTGACATCAGGAGCAGACAGCAGTTCCTGATGCGCTGACAGCCAATCATGTCCAGGGTGAGCGGGGCTCACTGTCCTCTCCTGCACTGCACCAGCACAGGGCTGTGACAGTGGGGCATCCCATCCCATCAGGATGTTGTCCCCGTCCCATGTCACCACGCAATCCTTCCATCTGGGGCTGACCTCGGGGCTGAGCATCCCAGTGACGCTGCCTTCTTCCTGCAGAAGCACTGGCCTGCGGGGACGCAGTGCGTCACCAAGCACGACCACACCAAGCCCAAGGCTGGCGAGCTGGCCTTCCACAAGGGAGATGTGATCACCATCATCGAGGCCGTGGAGGTGACCTCTGGGGCCGTGGGTTTGGCAGTGCCACCGGGTCCAGGACCCCCTTCCTGGTTTGTGTGTCCCCTTTCTGAGACCGTCCCATCTGCAGGGCAGGAACTGGTACCGCGCACGGCACAACGAGAGCGGGCAGGAGGGGCTGCTGGCGGCTGGAGCGCTGCGGGAGCGCGGGGCCATCCGTGCTGACCACAAGCTCAGCCTCATGCCGTGAGTACTGCGGGGTCCCAGCAGCTGCAGGGCTGACCCACACATTTCCCCTCCCTCAAATCTGGAGGGGCTGCTGAAGGCAGAGCAGCCAAGAGCCCGGATCACCGAGGGATTTGTTGGCTACGAAAACCCCCGTTGTGTCCAACCGTCTGGGACAGCCCTGGTGGGGAAGGAGCTGCTGCGGGGTCTGCGTGGCCTCTGTGTGGTCTCTGCTTCTACTGCCTTGCTGCTGGTGCTGCGAGAGATCCCCAGCCCCACATCCTCTCACTCCTATCCACGCATTCCCTCACCCCACGGCCCCCATCTCCACATATTCTCACCCCTCGCCCCTATCCCCACATCCCCTCACCCCACACCCCACATTTCTTCATCCCTTCACCCCACACACCCCCCATCCCCACGCCCCTCTTCCCAGCTGGTTCCACGGGAAGATCTCGGGGGTGGAGGCGGTGCAGGAGCTGCAGCCCCCCGAGGACGGGCTGTTCCTGGTGCGTGAGTCGGTCCGGCACCCTGGTGACTACGTGCTGTGCGTGAGCTTTGGCAAGGAGGTGATCCACTACCGGGTGCTGCACCAGGAGAACAGGCTGAGCATCGACAGCGAGCAGTACTTCTGCAACCTCATCGACATGATCGAGGTGAGAGCCCCCCTTTGCGCAGGACTTTGGGGTCACTCCAGTGTGGCACGCAGTGATGCAGAAATACGGGGTGATCCTGACCCCATGGGCCAGCAGTGTGCGGTGTGACATCACGGCCACCTCGTCCTGTGGCCCCTGGGGCTTCACCACAGCTGTGGGTGCGTTTTGTTACCTGCTGCCATTCTCCATCCCATGATGTTCTCCAGACCCCTCTTGGTTTGGGGAGCAGTGGATGCTCCCACTCTGCCCTGCCTGCTGCCAAATATAACACTGGCTCTCCTGCTTCCAGAAAGCTCTTCCTCCAGCTCTTCCTCTACCCTGACCCACATCCACTCCACGCCTCTCCTCTGAGAGTTCACGCTTCCTGATTGTTTCCATGTTTAGACACAACTTCTGCTTTCAGATGGTCCTTTTCTCCTTTCATCTGCCTCTGCTGAAGCTCTGCAAACCACCCCCTTCCTGTCCCTTCACCCCGGGGACAGGCTGCTCCATTGCGGTGTGCCCTGACTGTGCCCCACATGGAGATGCTGGTTTGGGATTTCCCACTGCGGAGGATGGGCTCTGTGCACCTAGAGGGCTAGCTTTGGTGCTGGTGTCCTGCGGAGCATCTGTGGCCATTTCCCCACTCCTCACCCCCTGCCCCATCCTGCAGCACTACACGGAGCAGCAAGGAGCCCTCTGCACCAAGCTGGTGAAGCCCAAAGCCAAGAGCGGGATGAAGTCAGCCGAGGAGGAGTTGGCCAAAGGTGGGAAGGGGTGAGGGCCAGCTCGGGGGGAGGAAGTGGTTCTGGTGCCTTCTGACCCATCCCTGTGCCGTGCAGCCGGCTGGCTGCTCAACCTGCAGCACCTCACGCTGGGAGAACGCATCGGGCAAGGCGAGTTTGGAGGTGAGATGGGACCAGAGGTCCCTAGAGGGCATCGCCAGATGACTTTCCTGGATGCCATCCCTGCTGTCCTAGGGCTGGGTGCGGTGTCCCCACGCCTGATGCCTTGCATCCCCCACCAGATGTCCTGCAGGGCGAGTACATGGGGCAGAAGGTGGCTGTGAAGAACGTCAAGTGTGATGTGACCGCCCAGGCCTTCCTCGCCGAGACCGCTGCCATGACGTGAGTGGGGCACAGGGGTACGGACAGACCCCATCCCATGGTGTTGGGGGTACTGGCCCTCACCATGTCCCCTCACTTCAGGAAGGTCCGACACAAGAACCTGGTGCGTCTGCTCGGCGTCATCCTGCACAACGGCCTCTACATCGTCATGGAGTTCATGAGCAAGGTGAGGGCGGCCGGGGCTCAGACGATGGGGCCGATTGCGGCTCCATTTTCAGATAAAACCCACAGCTTGGGGCTGGGTTGTGTGGATCCCAGGAGCCCCATCCCAACGGTTCTTCCACGGCTCTCATCCCTCAGGGCAACCTGGTCAACTTCCTGCGCACGCGGGGCCGCGCGCTCGTCTCACTGCCACAGCTCCTGCAGTTCTCTCTGTGAGTCCTCCTCCCATCGCCCGCATCGCTGGGGAGCTCCCAGAGGCACGGTGACACCGGGATGGGGGATAGGTGACACCAGGGCAGGGGGACACACGGTGACGCCGCCCCACCACTGCAGGGACGTGGCCCAGGGCATGGACTACCTGGAGTCCAAGAAGCTGGTGCACAGGGACCTGGCCGCCCGCAACATCCTCATCTCCGAGGACAAAGTGGCCAAAGTGAGCGATTTTGGCCTGGCCAGGGTCAACCCCCGCGGTGCGGACACCACGCTGCTGCCCGTGAAGTGGACGGCTCCCGAGGCCCTGAAACACAATGTGAGTGATGGAGCAAAGGGCCCCCAGGGCAGCTCCCCCACCCCATCCCACAACCCATCTCTGCCGCGTGCTGACTCCTCATCTCCCCACATCTGGGCTTTGTCCTGATCCTCATCCTGAGGGCGAGGGCATCTCCTGCAGGGGATGGGATGGGTGTGGGGTCCCTCTGCTGTGGGGAGGTGAGGGTGCAGCCGGGAGCGATGGGTCCCCAGCTGGCTGCAGCTCCCTCCCCACACCACGGCAGAAATTCTCCTCCAAATCGGATGTGTGGAGCTACGGGATCCTCCTGTGGGAGGTGTTCTCCTTTGGCCGAGCGCCCTACCCCAAGCTGGTGAGTGCAGGGGTTCACAGCCTGATGAGGTGCAGGGGATGGGGACATCCCTGCTGCCCCCGGAGGGGGGACCCCAGCTCCCTGCTCCACCCGCAGAGCCTGAAGGAGGTGACGGAGCAGCTGGAGCAGGGGTACCGCATGGAGCCCCCCCGAGGGCTGCCCGCCCACTGTGTACGCACTGATGAGGAGCTGCTGGGAGATGGAGCCGGGCAAAAGGCCGTCCTTCAAGAAGCTCACAGAGAAGCTGCAGAAAGAGCTGAAGCACCTGAAGGATGTTTAACCTACGTTCCACACCCAAGGAGCCCCCAGAACCCACAGGAGGAGCCCCCAAGTTGGGGAGCAGTGTGAAAACGGGCAGCCTGGAGGCTGCTCCCTCCTGGTGAAGATGGGGCAGTGGCTCTGCAGGGTGCCTCCTCCCCTGCACGCACACAGAGGATGCAATGTCCACCCTCCATCTCCCAGGAGGATGCAGTGGACAGATGAATCCCTCCGTCCCCGTAGGGCCCAGCCATGCCTGGGGACACCAGGAGCACGAGGTCCCTCTGAGCCCCCTCTCCTTTCCCAGTGGTGGGGACAACACGGGATGTCCCACCCCTATGGAAGACAACACCCCACTGCTGGCACAGCCCTATGCCTGCGCTGCATGGACACACCAACCGCACTCAGCTCAGCCACACGGGTTTGGGCCTCTTGATTAAACCACAGAAATTCGCTGGGCAGTGTCTTTAAGTCTCCAGACTCACATTAGGGCTATCCCTTGTTTGGGGTGAGCACAGAGGAGGGGTGGGAGCCCCGGCCCCCTCAGTCCCCCATGCACAGCACAGCCCCACTCTGCTCTGGGCTGTGCGCAGAGCCTGGGATTATTCTTTTAATCAGAGCCTGTATGGGAATTGCTCGCACACAGATTGTGGGAGCAGGGCAGGGGCAGCCCCAGGCACCGGCTCGCAAGCGATCTCAATATCTCAGCGGAGCAGGGATTAACAGGAGCGTGGGGTGCGCGTGTGTGTGCACCCGCCCCATTCCTTGTCTCCCTTCCAGTCCTTCGACCCTGGGTTGATGTTTTTGCTCTCACATCTCCCCCATGCCCACTTTCTGCACCTCTCGCCCCACCACAGAAAGCGGCTTTGGATGCCCACCGTGCCCCTGCATCAAGGCCCAGGCAATGGGTTATTTCCACCAAGTCCAGGTCCACAGCACCCTTGGGTGCTGCACAGGAAGGTCTTCCCACCCCAGTGGTGTTGGCTTCCCCTCCTAATGCCATAATCCAGCCCTTATCCCGGGTCCCGCTGACCTTGCAGGCGCCGGACCCAGTGCTGGGCACAATATCCACCCACCCATGGCTGCCTTCTTCACGGCCGCCCTGAGGAACCTGCGGGGGGGTGAGGAGGAGCCCAAGGCACCCCCCAAGGACGGCAAGGCGGCTGCCCTGCCCCACGGCATGTCCCGCGAGGAGTTCGAGGAGTACCAGCGGCAGCTGCTGGAGGAGAAGTAAGGCTTGCTTGGGGCTGCAGGGTCCCCATGCAGCGGGACCGGGGTGTCACTTGTCCCCTGCATGGTGGGACAGGGACAGGGAGGCAGAGGGTGGGAGCAAAGTAGGTCCATAAAGTGCAGGAGGTCCCCATGGTATGGGACATCCCCGTGGTGCAGGAGGTCCTACGGTGAGGGAGGTCTCTGTAGTGCAGGATGTCCTCATGGTATGAAATGCTCTGATAGTGAGATGTCCCAGCGGTGCAGGAGGTCTCCATGGTGTGGGATGTCCCCACGGTGCAGGAGGTCCCCGTGGGTGCTGGTGCAGGGACTCAGCATTCTGCAGATGACAAGGAAGAGGGAGGTGCCCAGGGCCACCATCATCCCAGGGCCCACAAATGTGAGGGAAGATGGGGGCAGGACTGGGCTGCACTCAGGTACCACCACAGATGTGGGTGATTTGGGGGTGGTGTCAGGGAGGTGAAAGGCTGTGGGAGGGGTGAGTCCTCCCACTAGAGCTGTCACCACTGGGTAGGGGGCAGGACACAGACCCTGCCCTGGGACCCCCAGTTGCAGCCTCACGTGGACCACTGTACATTTGGATCTTTGGATGGGTGCAGCCACGCCAGGTTGAGGGACAATGCGAGGACTCAGGTGGGGCAGAGGTGACAACATGTCACCCATCACACAGGATCGAGCGGGACAAAACCTTTGCGCACAAGAAGGCAGAACGGGCAACTATGCGCATGCACCTGAGGGACAAGTATCACCTGGCCCAGGTACGGACACACAGGGGGACCCCGAGCCCCGAGCCCCAATGCCCCCGAGCTGGGTGGCAGCCATCCTCCCCCTCCCCAGTCCCATAGGATGGGAAGCGATTCCTGAAGAGGGCAGCAAACGGCTGCTGTCCCTGTCCTTTCCGTCCACCCGCGCACGCGTCTCTCCAGCAGTCCCAGTGTGGGGCTGGGCAGCTGCTGGGACGCCCCCCATCCACGGGTGTCCCAAAGGAGCCTGCTTGCTCCTGATCCCTCCCCAGGCTGCTGAGGGTCCATTGCAGCCCCAGCGCCGTCTCCCACCCGCAGGATGAGCGGGACGATGCCCAGCTGCACATAGCGGGCGGCGCAGTGGAGCTGCCGCAGGAGCTGGCTGCCATGGTGCGTGGCGAGGAGGAGGAGGAGGAGGAAGAGGAGGGCGCCTTCACCTTCCTGACCAAACTGCAGGACGTGGATCTGGCGGCGCTGCGGGGCCGTGCGCTGGGCACTGTGGATGAAGTGATGGAGAAGTGCTCCCTGATGTAGTGCTGGGCAGGAGCGGGTGGGCTGTGGGTGTTGTGGATGCAACATGCCAGGCTGGGGCCCTATGCCTGTGCTGGAGGTCAGCTGTCCTTGCCTAAACCATTCCCTGAGTTTCTGGGGGCTCTGGGCAGAGACACTGGGGTCCTTTCCACCGAATCCCATCTCATGGCGTCCCCTGGTGCCACCCCAAGTCCAGCCAGGCAGCAGTCCCACACCCCCAGCACCACCCCTGGAATCTCCTGAGCTGTTCGGATCAATAAAAGCGTCATTTTGTGGGATGAGCTTCCTGTTCGTGCTGCTGCACGACGCCTCCATACCACGCAGCTCCGCCTGCACATCCCCATCCCACGCGGTGCCAACCCCCCAGAGCTGGGTCGCACCGTAGGCTTTTCCCCACCCCACACACAGCCCCACGCCCACAGTCTCACCACCCCGACCCACACCTGCACCCTGCAGGCTCCACAGGGGGGGAGCGTCCCCCCCCGGGGGTCCCCCCGGGCCCCCCCCCCCCCCGCTGCAGGCTCAGCAGCACCGTGGGCTTAAATGCCGCCGCGCAGGCGACTGCCGGAAGGCTGCAGGCTGCTGAGATCATAATACCTGCCTATTTTAGGGAGGTCTAATCTGCCTGAATCGCCTGTCCCCAGGGACTAAGCTCCCTGAACCCGTGCAAAATGCACCGCCGGGGCCCCGAACGCCACCGCCTGACAGAGCCGGGCCGGACTCACGCTGCGTTCACATGAAAGGAGGGCCGCGCTCACCGCCCCCAGGCTCCCAGCGCCAGGGCCATCTGCTCCTGAAAGGCCTGGGGATCTGTGGGGCCTGTGGGGTCTGTAGGGTGTGTGGGGCCTACAGGGCGTATGGGGCCTGCAGGGCCTGTGGGACCTGTGGGATCTGTGGGGCCTGCAGGGTCTGTGGGGCCTGTGGGGCTTACAGTGCCTGTGGGTTCTGTGGATCCCATGGGGGCTGTGGGTTCTCTAGGGCCTGTGGGGCCTGCAGGGCCTGTGGGTTCTGTGAGGCCTGTGGGTTCTCTGGGGCTTATGGGGCCTGAAGGTTCTTTGGGGCTCGTGGGTTTTGTGTGGCCTTTGGGGCCTGCAGGGCCTGTGGGTTCTGTGGGGCCAGTGGGATGTGTGGGGCTCGTGAGGCCTGAGGAGTGTATGGGGCCCGTGGGGCGTGTGCCCGTGGCAGTGGGGCGGAACCCAGCACTGCTAGGTTGGGAGTCGCACCGCAGCTCTCAGCTGCCCCAGCCACAGCAGCAGGGTTGTGGGGTGGGGGCCTTGACCTCCGTGTGCTGCTGTGGCAGCGTCTGCTGAAGCCCCCAGGCCTGGCGCTGTGCCCCACCACCCCCAGCTCCCCACCGTCCCCGCTGCGCAGCCCTCCTGCAGAACTTCTCCCGTTCGGACACGAAATCAACCTGAGCCAAACAGGACACGGCTGTACGGCCCCCGGCCCCTTTGTGGGGCAGCCCAGTCCCACCCCACATCCCCGCCATCCCCCGTGACCGGGTGCCGGGACGGCGGCCCTCGGGTCCCCATCTCCCCACGCTCCCCACGGGGCACCCGGCACCAGCTGGGATCCGGGTCAGGACCCTCTCCCAGGTCTCCCCAGCTAATCGCCCTGCCCCCCCCGCCGCCCCCACGTTGCCACCTGTGCCTCCTCACCCTTTTGGGGTCACCCTTTGCCACCCGCCCGCCCGCCCCGGGCCTCTTAATGAACTAAAAAAGTGACAAATCCCCGGCAGAGCTGGTCACGTGCGGCCAGCGGCCCCCGGCCCCGACCCCCGCCCCGGCCCCACCGCCCCGGTAAGCTGACGCAGCGTCTCTAAGCGTTAGCAGCTTTGCCCGCTAATAGGATTAGGGAGGTTTAAAACTGTCATTTGAGTGAACTAAACCCCCTGATACTCTGCATTGCACCTTCTTAACCAATTTGCCTTCAATTAGGGTAATTGGGAAACTAGCAAAGAAGTATAGCATTAATATTTTAAAGTGATGAAGCGATTACGGGCCTTGGACGAGGAAGCAAATCAATTTGCTATCTGCTCCTAAAAGGCAATTATAATCATTTGTCAAATCAGCCTGCTGGCCTCCCCCGCCCGTGTGAGCCAACACCTTAAGGCGGTTTAGCGGGGCCGGCTCCGCACACACGGCCCTGGTGGGTAAATCCAAATCCGGGCAGCTGGGGCGGCTGCGCCCGCGCCGAAAACCAACCCACGGGTGGTCCTGGTTCCTGGTGGGCACACGGCGCTTTTGGGGGGGATCTCTTCGCTCTGAGCCACTTTGGAGCTCTTGGTGTCTGCGAGAGGTGCTGGGGTTGGGGGTCTTCCTGGGGCAGCTCTGCGCTCTGTGTCCCCGTGGTGCTGTTGGGAAGTCAGCGGAGAAGGGGATCGGGGTCTTCTTGCTGCCATCGTGGCGGCGCTAGCACAAGGTGCTCATTGGGATCCGTTTAATTGGGATCCATCTCGTTGGGATCTGGGATCCCAGCCTGGGAACGTCCCCACCACCCTACGGCAGCGCAGGAGAATGAAGTCTCACAGTGCAGCACCACCAGCAGTGACACGCAGTGGCTCTGGGTCTGTGCTGTGTTCAGGCAGAGGCACTTCTGTGGGTCAGTACAGTGCCTGGCGGTGATCGAAGCCCCACGGTGACGTTCAGCATCTGAAAGGGGAACTGTGCTATGGAGAGGATGGGGGTGGGAGGAAGCCGAAACAGTGGCCAAGGGCTGCGGCGTTGGCAGGTGACAGGAAGAGGGTTTTGGGGGAAAGTAAAATGGAGTGGAGGGCAAAAAGGGGAATCCTGGCAGCAGGGGGGCGGCACGGGCACCCAGACAGGAGGAGACACCATCGCAACGCTCCCGGCCCCCAGCGGGGCAATGTTTCTGTCCCACAGCCCTACAGGCGTGGGGCTGCCTGCACTGTGGATCCACATCCCACAGCCCATGGCCAGACCCCATGGACGGCCCCACGGTGTGTCCTCACGCTGTGTCCCATGCCCAACGCTTGTCCCTGCTCTTAGTCCCCACACCTGTTCCTCTCTGTCTGTACCCATGGCTGATGTGGCACACACACAGACGGCTCCAGAGCTGGTTCCCAAAGCTGGTACCCATGGTTGGTCCTGAGCAGATCCCCGTGCCTGGTGTGACATCCACAGCTGATCCCACAGATGGTCCCCAAGCTGCTCCCCACACTCGAGACTGCTCTCTATGCCCATTCCCCACACAAGGTGTGACACCTTTGGCCAGTCCCTACTGCTGGCCCCCATCCCTGGTGTGATGACGTCCATAGCTGGTCCCATTGCTGCACCCCATGCCCACTCCCCACATGTGGTGCGACGTCTACAGCTTGTTCCCATGCCTGGTGTGACTTCTGTGCTTGATGTGACATCCCTAGCTGCTACTACAGCTGGACCCCATGCTCATTTGCCATTCTCGGTGCGACATCCCAAGATGGTCCCATCACTGGTCCCCCTGCCTGACGTGGCATCCACAGCTGATCCCACTGATGGTCCCCAGGCTGGTTCCAATGCCTGGTGTGACATCCACAGCTGACCCCTTGCTAGTTCCCACGCTTGATGTGACATCCAAAGGCTGTCCCATTGCTCGACCCCATACCCACTCCCCATGCTCAGTGTGACATCCACAGCTGATCCCATCGCTGGTCCCCATGCCCACTCCTCATGCCTGGTTTGACTTCCACAGCTGATCCCATCGATGGTCTCCAAGCCGGTCCCACTGCCTGCTGTGACACCCAGCATCCCAAAGGACCCCACACGCTGCCACGAGGCCACCCCACCACCTCCACTGGGGGACGCAGCCCCCATGGCATCCCCAGCACAGTCCCATTCCCGGCGGCGCGGCGCTGGCAAAGCCAAAGGAAATTGTTTCTCTCCCTCCCCCCCCCCCCCCCTCGCCGTTCTGCCCCTCGCCCCGTGTTTCTAATTCTTTTTCCTCTCCCATAATGAGGGGATTACAAGGAAAACTCCAGCAGGACGCCTTTGTGGGGAGACAATCTGAGCGGGGAAGGCAGCGCGGGGCTTTGTGCGCCCGCAGCCCCCCCGGCCCGCCCGGCGCTGGGGGGACATTTAGAGCAATTACTTGTCCAGAAAGTAACTGTCAATCATTCTTAAAGGGGAAGGCCTCCAATTAATAACCTCGTCTTAATCCTTTGGACTCATTTCCAATCTGCGGGGCCTTGGTGACATCTGCAACACTAAATAAAGATTCTCCCGAGCCTTAGCGCGGCGGTTCTGTGACAAATAAGAAGACTAGAGGCAACTTTGGCTGCCAAGCTGCAAGATTGGTGAGGTTGAGCCGCTTGTTTGGTTCCCAGGAGGGACCGGCAAAGTTAAATACTCCTGGAAAAGCCGCGTCGGGCCCAGCAGGTAACGCCGTTTTACGGGAATTTGGGAGAAAGTGCCAGGGGAGGAGGCTCAGAGCGGAGCTGGGGTGGGCACAGTGCTGTGCTGTGCTGTGAGGACGTGGGGGAGGACGGTGGGTGTCCCCAAACCGCCCCACTGGGCATCCGAGCTGCCCTCCGATCCCCAAAGGGAGCAGCAGCCACTGTCCCAAAAGCTCCTGCAGGACACGGAGTGCAGAGCCTGCCTGCAGCACGCGGGGTGTGGGGACACCGATGGCCTCAGCAGCTGGAGGGGCTGCCTGCTGTGCCTGCTGTGCCCAGCGGGGCCATAGGGCTGCAGGGGGCCGCGGTGCCGTGGGGATGCGATGTGACGGCGCTGGGGACGAGGCGGGCGGCAGCAGAGCGGCAGCGGGGCACCGCACACCCATCCCACAGGGTGGTTTCTCTCTTCTTCCTGTTTTCTTGGGGCCTCCTTTCCTTCTGGATGGGTTTGGGGCTGTGGGGGCCATCTCATACACAGCCCTGGCCCTCACCCCACTGCCCCGACCTTCCCTGTCCCCGCTCGTCCCCATCCCCCTCACCCTGTGGGGTCGTGCACCGCTCACCCCTCTCCCCTCTCCTTGCAGGTGTGGAGCTGCGCAAATGAGAAGCGGGT